TATTTCTTCGTCGATCCCAGTCGCCGGCTGATCGTTCCCCCGTAATTGGTCCGTACGATGGACGCGAGCGATTCCTGGGATGGCTCTTCTCTTTCACTCTTTTATCGATAATCACTACTACCACGTATCTAAACGTTCTTCGTTTCATAAAAAAGAAAGGAAAAACAAAAGGAAGAAGAACAACGAAAAAGAAGAAAAAAATTCATCGAGTATAAACGGATGGAAGCGGATTGTTCGGAATTAAAATTCGCTTTTCGTTTAAATAAGTAAGAATATAAATCCGCGAGACAAGAAGTAATTGGAATCGAGCGGTAGCAGGAATAAAATATTTTTCGTTTGAAAGTCGCCGGCCTCGAACGGAGAACGAAGCTTACTTCGATCGGAACGATTGTAAACTTATGTCATTCTTTCAAAATGCAATGTAAATGCAAAGTATTAGCTGCACGTAGTATCTACGTTGATTGGATTGGATTGGATTGGATATAATGTGTTAAAAGTCACGTTAATAAATCCAATAAAGATAATATTTGTCATGTTCGTACATTGAAATATTTATTAATAATAAATTTTTATTCTATTATTAAATATTTATTATTCAAATGTGAAAATAAAAACTCCAACCTTTTATTATTAAAATATTTCATCCTATTCGATATATTTTGGAGAAAGTATATTCGATATACTTTTGGACAATATTACATATTTACGTGTTTGAATTTCATAATTTTTAAAGAGAATCAAACAAAATATTTAAATAATTTATCTTTCTGTAAAGTTGCGTTTCCTTTTGTCAAAAATTGAAGCAATATAAATTAACATTTGTCTAGAATCGTGAATACTTTGAAACGAAGAGGAAACATCTTTCAACAATCGTTTCCTTTGAATTCACTTGCTGCTTGAATATTTTCTAAAATACTTTAACGTCGATTTCATAGAGTATTTTTATCTATTTACATATGTATTTATTTATTTGTTTTTTTTTTTTTTTTTGACGACAATAGCCATTACGCACCATACATTTCAGTCTGTAGATATGATACATTATGCGAATTTATCAGATATGTATGTATATTTACAGCGGGCTATGGAATATTATTTATTTTATAAAAAATATATCGAAAAAACTTTCGTTGGAATTAGCAAATAACAAAATGTCAAATCAATCAATTATCCTTATTGGCGATTAAATCAATGATGCGTACGATGATGTAGGAATAAGTAATGCTTTATTAATAAAGAGTATAATGATAATATTGGTGATTAATTTGTCAACAAGTATGGAGTATATACAGTATGTATATATATATATATATATATATATATATATATATATATATATATATATATACACACACACATATGAACTTGTTCTACAATGGACAATGGTAGAAAAAGGCATTGAGTTATGAATGTTATTAATTCTAGAAGAAAATACATTCGGTCTTTTCGGTTTAGTAGAACATTCGGATGATATTAAAATTCGGATAACGAAGATTCTATCATAATTGGTATCACGTAACGACGCAAACCATATGGAAGATCGTTCGATCGAACAAACATCCAAGGATGTTTCTTCGGCGTTGAGTCGGTTTTTACGTTAAGGTCATTACCTGTACCTGTTACCAGTCGTCTCCTTTCCGACGAGAAAGGAGTAAGATCTGTGGCGTCAGCGTCGATATCAACGCGTCTCTTTTTTTTCTTCTCCTATAACAGATTGTTTTTCAAAGGAACGCGAACTCGTCTATGGCACAACTATGCCTCGAGTTATTTGATAACAGGCCCCGAGGAAGAGTTCTCGTTTCTTTTAACTTTTATACCAGGAGGAAAGAGTATCAAAGAGGAATGATCCGGACTTCGTTACGGCTATGTAAGCCGACATAGAACGCGGCCGTTCTGATCTAACAATAAAAAGATGCCCTCGAGAGAAATTACCGAGTTCCCGTTAGTCTATCCGATATCGATCGATGCTCTATCGTGCTCGACATGACTTTTAAGATCGTTTTTGCTGGTCCGAGGACGATCGTCGTAATGTGTCTCCCGATAGAATCCAATCTACCTTGCTTTGTGAATTCCACGACGACCCACTTGACGAATGTTTCGCTGAATGAATAGAAATCGTGAAATTGTAAATCGTGAAATTATTTTTATGATTTGTTGAGTCAATTTTTTACCTAAACATCACACCATCTTTTCAAACATTCGTAATTTCTTTAGTTTCATTTTTATAAATTGACTTTGATAATGCAATACTCTTTTAAAATTAATGATTCAGAATTTTTAATGGAATAATAACAAATTTTCTTAATTTTTTATATAAAACTTTCATAAACTCCGAAGTAACTTTTAACAAAAGTATCAAAAAGTACCACCATTATTTTTCCTATATTAATTTTGGACATATGAAATTTTATATTAATATCAAATTTATATATTTGATCAAAATAAGAAAAAACGTTATTCGTTATTGACATGTTCGATCATCAGTCCTCTAATAGACCCAACTACAATCGTTTTTATGAACTACGTACTATGTAATTGATAAAAAAAAAAGAAAACACTTTGTATGAATGTCCATATATGTGAAAAACTGTGAATCGATCTCGTTCCTTATAGAATACAACAAAATTTATGGAGCATCGATGAATTATCGAGGATAAAAGATCCCTTCTTACAAATGAACAACTTGATATTTGAAAAATAGGATTTTTAATTTAATAATTGAATTATTTATTAATTCAATTGCTTAATAAATTAATTATTTATTAATTTCATAATCTTCTTAATGAGATAGAATTTAATGTGACTCCTTATGGTTTTTATATCTGCTGATAAAAAAATAAGGAAATATGGAGAGAGGAAAAATCGTGAATGTTGAAAAGTGAAGGTCCTTTGAATCATATATAGCAATATAATGATAATAATAATGATAATAATAATGATTATACTGCAAGAAAAATCATATACCAAAAACTGGCAATAAAATATCAACTTATGAAAACGAAAAATACAAATCATACTGTAACAGAATAATTTATACCAACAAGATAGTAGTCGTAAATATTATACCGGATATTGCGTTAATTAAGAAAAAATATCTTACCTTACGGACATCGCCGTATTAAAAGCAACAGAAATGCGACAGATGAACAGTAGGAAGAAATTAGGAAATACACATTTGTATCAATTAAGACAAAAGAAACATTGCAAGTAATATTATTACTCGTCATAATAGAGCAAGATATAGGAACGAAAAATTTCATGGACTATCTTAAAACATTACAATTACGTAGATGAACGTAATTGTAACAGAAACATTGAAAAACTGTTCCAAGAACAATAATCAGGAAAACAATATAGAAATTATAAAATAATACGTGACTTGGTCGAAATCCGTCACATCGTCATAAAATCGCAATGCGTGAGAAGTAACGCTGATAATAATAATAATAATAATAATAATAATAACAACAATAATAACAATAACAACAACAATAAAAATATATAATAAGAGAATAATAATAATTATGATTATGGTGAAAGTGAGACAAGTGGAGTGGAACCTCCATTCTCGTATTCCCGAAGGACGTGTTTGATTTATTACTCATGATCTTATAATAAATTTGTATTTGTTGACGACGAAAATAATACGGAAATATTAATGGAACCAGTTCAATCAGTACCATGACGAAATTGACGCCGGTGATACCCCAAGTGTTGAAATAATAAAATCCTTCTGCGCAAATGGATGTCTGTGCCTTTTAAGACTGCTCACGAACGCAGAAAAGTTGTACTTACTTACTCGTACTTACGTCTTTCGAGCTCCGATTGTTTCTAGGCCGACGCATATACTATACGTATATATTTCACTCTTTCACGTATATCGTATGCATCGCGCGTGTGGAAGTCCGAGAACGTGGTGTGCGCGTCTGTAAGTCACTAACATAAACTAAAATTACCGTGCGCGAAAGTTGCTGTTAGATATCGATAACATTCCACGTTGTTCTTGATTTTGCGAACAACGCGGATTTTTTATTAATTAACGCAACAATCGACGAATCTTTTTTTTTTTTTTTTTGACGTATTTGTTTCATTTTAAATTCTCAAAAAACATTTATTTTTCGCCGAGAAAGTATATAATCCTTCGAGCATTTAAGTATCAGGTATTTTTGAACAAATTTTGTCGAAAAGTGACAAGCAAAGCGATAACGTTTGTTTCAATTCATATCGAAAAATGCTAAAGCAATGCGATAGCGTATGTTTTCAACATATGTCGATAGCGTACCGTTGATTACGCTACGTGGACCGATGCTCTGAAACTTTTCGACATGAAATGTGAAAAGCGCAATCGCACTGCGTGGCATTCGAAAGGTTAAACGCGATTACAGAGAACTCTTCCTTATCTTTTTGATATGAACAAAGGCATAACAAATGAATATCTTTAAAAGAGATATTTATTATAAAACTTTTTCCTGTCTTTATGTTTTACATTTAAATCTATAACGATTGTAAATAAATTCATCTGTGTACATCATTGTTATGTTATATATGTGCGATTGTATCCATTCTACCTTCGATACGGCTGAATAAATTTTCATAAAATTTATATATAAATAAAACGTGATTACTTACAAAACGTGGATCTAAAAGTTATTTCGGTTTGATCCAATATTCGCTTGGCGATGTTTTGAGAAATTAAAAGAAAATTCATAAAAGGTCGCATATGCAATGTAAGTGACGAAATTGATTGTAGAAATATTTAAGTTAAATTTGAGTTAAAAAAAGAAAAAAAAAAATAAAAAGGCAAGAAAAGAAAGAAAAGAATATTCCGGGAAAAGCATCTCTGATCGAAGGTCGAAGATACAAAGGGCGGAATATTTTGACTATATAAAATTATTGATTTAGTGAACGATATGTCTGTGTGACTTCTTTGAAAGCGATATAAAAGAATAAACAAGACGGTCCTATAGGTCGTGTCTAAAAACAAATATTTTTCTTTTTAGGTCTAATGATGGAGTCGGAGAAAAAAATCTTCGAGATGATGAACAAAAAAGCGGCCATGTCGAAATATTGGATGCCGCTCGTCTGGGCGACTAACATCATCAATAGGGCAAGGAAAGAAGCTCTGATCACTAGTGACCAAGTAGTGCAAACCCTCCTTGTCGAACTCAGCGACATCCGGAAGAGGCTTGGCGCACTGATCGGTTACGACACTGTTTGCGTTCCTCTCGTTTACACTCAGGTGAGTAGCCTCGAATTGAATTCAGCTACGATCCAACTTCCTGGCACGTATGTTGCGAGAAGTTAACTCCTTCCGTAAATTCTTTCCTTTTTAGATGCTGATTGTTTCTTTGTTTCTTTTTCATAAATACGTGATTATTACTGGAAAAGTATTAAACTTTCAGCATTTTCTTTTTTTTTTTTTTTTCATGAGACTCTTGCGACATTGAAGATAACGTAAAATCAAACAATTTTCTCATTAATCTTAATTTCGTTGAAAAGTGATCGTCGTCCATAGAAATATCAAAAAATTGATCTGCAGATAAGTGATAATTTTAATTAATATAATTCAATTGGCAGAAAACAAAATCGGTTTCTAAATTAAAATCACAAAGTATTTAAGCGATGTGAAAAAATAAAATTATCATTTTTCTCGACCGACGATTATAGAATTTTGATGACATTAATTCTGGCAATAAAGAAACAGGTTAAAAATACTCAGAAATACTTTACATTCTTAAACGATTAGAGGTAGAAATGTACACGTACGTATCGCGTTACGCATAGCTGTAATTAAATATGAAAGTAAGAAATATCTTGTCTCTCAGAAGCGAATATATTAAAAACTCTATACGAGTATAAATCTCGGATTTAAATCGTTAGTCGTTGACTATTGAGCAAAAATGTAATTATCGATTTATCAGGTTATATAATCAATGAATCCAATTTATTTAAGATGCTTTAAAATGATGAAAAGCAGTAAAATCTCGATATCTTTTTATTTTATTTATATTTTCTAAGATAAAGAAACAATACTTGTTCTCGGTATCATTAACTATTCGCGTAAGTAGCAGCATTGTCGTACTTATTACGCCGTTGTCATTGACAGATGTTCAATGTTCGATGCGAACATCTTCATCGACTTCTGACATTCGTTATTATCGACGTCCATAGCTTCAACGTCGTCAACAGACGATTTATATTACATAACTCTTCTTCGCTTTTTCCATCGAATAAATCGACTGTGTTTTGCGTTTTATCGCGGACATAACAGGTCGTGCGAGTAGAATAAATAAAATAAATACATCTTTCTAATTATTCTGTAATCATTCATCGTTCATTAACTCTATAGGGAAATAAACGAGCACGTTTTCTTTTTTCAGAATCCAAATATATCTCGAAACTATTTTATCCTTTTTAAAAGATTACCATTTGCATTCCACGAGTATTTTTGACCCTTTAAATGATGAATTCCCTTCCTGAAAAGACAAACCGCTTTCGTACTCGCAATTAGATGATGTACGCGGAATTGTGCAAACGTAATTGCTGCTCATCACCTAACGTTCCTAATTGTCGAGCACAAGTGTCATTATTTTCGCAGTATTAAAGAGACAGGTTGCTACGTAATTCCGACGCTACGTGAGCCGTGTCAGGATATCAAATTTTCGAGATATACAAGTAGAATTGTCTGCGATAAATTTTTTTTATTACATCAGAGGACAATCATTTCTGTGAATCTTTAGAGTATTTTCTTCTTTTCCTTTTTTTTCCTTTTTTTTCCTTTTTCTTTTTTTCTCTCTTTTCGTTCGTCAAAACTCCCAATCATATATGTCATGCATAATGTCGATCACATATATCATGTTTAATTCAAAGATTCTAACTATACGATGGCGGTTCAACAATAGTGGCAGGATAATAACGAGTGTTTAATGTTTGGCCGATACGAAGCAACCGATCATTCGTTTGTCGCTGATAGAAAAGGTTTTACATATCGATGTATGAACGTTCTTACTTCTCGATAAAGCTTTGCCATGAGATAAGCAAGACGACGCATTTCGATGTAATCATTTATTTCGTGATTTACGTCGCTGTATAATCGAGCATCGGTGCTCGTTAATACTTATACAAGCATACCTCGAACTCGTTGTAAAACAACGTTTGAGAGTATTCCATCTACAATTATCTACTTTTTAAACTGACGTTTCTACTTCTACATATCCTCATATGCATATTTTTTCCTTATTCCTACTACGTTTTTCTCTTACTTATATATTTCTTATTACAGGACTTTGTTCCTATTTGAATTAATTTTTTCTCAGCCCGTTATATCGAATGTTTTTCACGATGTCCGAAAAAAGTGCAATAAACTTTGGAATCATTATTTACGATCATTTCAAGTTTTAGTTACATTCTAGACGAGATGGATAGATTTTCATCGAGCTCGGTGAAATTACAAGAAGGTTACGCGGTAACAGCGTTGGCTCTGCAACAGCAGCGTGCCGTCTAATGATACGTTTACAGAACAGTTTAATGCCTGTTTTCCATGTTCACCATTCACCTTACACGTTTGCACAACGAGTGCCTTTGATTTTTTTCCTTTTTCCTACGATTCTGCGTGTCTCTTCTTGTGAAGCAAGGACCCAACATCAATAACGAGAGAATATATAAATATACAATTAATTTCTATAGGTTTATTAAAGAGGAAATGGGCCATTTATTTATGGCAGGTTCATTATCCATGATAAAGGAAAATAATGAAATGTGCAATGTGAGTGAGGAAAATAAAAGTAAACGAACGAATTTGCATCTCATTGATTTATTTTGCAAATCGATTTTGAGCCTGTGCAGATGACAAAGTGTAAAAAGCAAATGGTAAGCACAGTTGCCACAGTATGTGCATGAAGGTGATGCACGTTGCATGGTCAAGGTCGACGGGAGAGTTGGCCAGTAATTTTGCGGCGATACGTCACGCCTGCGGGGACCATTTCACGGCGCATTCGAGAGGAATCGGTCGAATACGTTGTCGTGTACCGCGAAGAACTTTGATTGGTAGCGAACGAATGGTTCGTTTCTTTCCTTTTCTTTTTTCTTTTTTTTCTTTTTTTTTCTTTTTTTTTCTCTTTAATTTTTTTTTCTCTCTCTCTTGCTCTTTGTCTTTCACGTACGTAAAGAGCATGTTTTGCTTTTGCATAAACTACCGTTTCCCGATGGCCTTCGTCGAGAAAGGCGTGAGTGTTGTCCTTGATATTCATTCATATCGGGTCGATTCCTTTTTTTTGTGCCTACCAGTTGTCAACAAAATTATTGCGTTAATATATTTCCTTTTCTTTTCCTTATCTCTTCTTTTATTTTCTTCTTCTTTCTTTTTCTTTTTTTTTCTTTTTTTAACTACCGTAATATAGATAGATGGTTTAATTGGTATTTTAAAGTATTCGTAATCCAAAAATAATAATATCTACACACTTACCTTGGCAAGGTGATTTGTTGAAAGATTCTTCGAATAAGTATACAAAAGCGAGCATAGAAATAAATGAAGGATTATTAAAATTCATAGTTTAACGTACAACTTCGTACAGTCATTTGCATTTACGATGTCTCGAAATTATTAATGCGTGACTGTGTTTGCCTTTCAGGTTGTTACGCTGTCGCTTTACGCGTACTTCTTCTCGGCTCTACTCGGTAGACAGTTTATCGAACGCACTGAAGCGGGTGGTGGGAAATACGAGGAACCGGACATGTATTTTCCTTTTTTCACGGCCCTACAGGTACGAAATGCATAATAATTAGATCAGAGTACGTACAGTAAGTGTAAAAAGTATATAATTTTTTACAAATATATATTTCCTTTGCGCAATACATAAATTTATGTTTAACAGTTATTTTATCATTTATTTATTAACGGTATGGGAACAAATTCGAACAACAGAAAGTGGGGGAAAAACAGGAAAAATAGATCGGAGAAGACTTGACGTGAAATAATCGTGGAAGAGTATCAGTCAAAAACTTAAAAAATTGTCTTGACGACAATTTGTATTAAATCTAAGGGTGATCACTTTGAACCTGTATTGTAATATATATATATATATATATATAATTTTCCATTTGTATTATTAATTAATAAAAAAAGGAAAAAACAAAGTAATTAAAATTCGTTGATAATTCGTAAGGTTATAAAGTTATCGTTGATTATTTCGGATCATTCTGTATGTTTATAAAAAATTATATTAAATGTACGAATACTTGGTATATTCAAAGTAATATAGACGAATCTACTTTCGCGTAATAAATTAATTTGCGATTTGTTTTTAGTTTTGTTTTTATGTTGGATGGCTGAAAGTAGCCGAGGTACTTATTAATCCTTTCGGCGAGGACGACGATGATATCGAATTAAATTGGCTGATAGATAGACACATTAAAGTAAGTTTAAAATATTTCGAATATATTTAATTTAATTTAATTTAATGCGAGCTAACGAAATCCCTCGATTAGGCTGGTTATATGATCGTCGATGAGATGCACGAAGAGCATCCTGAATTATTGAAAGATCAATATTGGGACGAAGTGGTGCCTCGAGATCTTCCATATACGGTAGCAAGCGAGCAATATCGACGAGAAGAACCAAAGGGTTCGGCGGAACATTACAAGGTAAAGGACAGCGATGCTCTCTACGCTAATGTAATGATGGGAACACAAATTCATAGTCACGTGCAGCATCGCAAGGTCCATCAGGATGACATGTACGCAGATTATGTGAGTGAAATTGAATATTTGAAATGTATTCATTAAGCAAATTTTTATCTCTTCTTTACATTGCACATCTATTTCCACGGCTAAATTTAAATATTGTATGCATATATGTATATCTTGTAGGAAAGCGTAGACACCCCATTGGTGGAGCGAAGAAAGAATTGGCTTCAACGGCAAATCACGCGAATGGGTTCCGTACGTAGTTCATCGACTACTTATAGCAGTGGAGGAGGTTTCTTTGCACGAAATCGTCACAACAGCGTGTACAGTAGTCCTGAAACAGGAGGCTTGCCAACGACAACTAATCCGAATTTGAAAATATCGCTGTATGACCGTCTCGTAGGTCGTAAAAGTATCCGCAGCCAACGAATGGGCAGGCAAGGTGTGTATTTTACGTAAGAGAGAAGGCAACAAAATCTGTTAAAAAAAGTTGTTACGTATCTTATCCTCGAACGATTTATTGTGTCATTAATTGATCGTTCTTAAATATAAACGAAAACAAAAAAGAACAATGTCGATGAACTTAATCATTGAGTTCCAGCATAGTTGGAAGCATGTTATTGCTGATGATATTGTAGCTTCTTGTTTTTACGAGTCATTCACCATAACGCGGCGTTAATTTTCAAACCGCTCAAAGGACAATAACGTGTCCTTGCGTAATCGCTCTAAGACTCGTCTCGTATATATCTTAGCATTGTTCTGACGCGAGGAACGAGTATTACATTGTTGTAACCGGACTATATTAAAAGACCACCGCCGGGAGAAACATCGAATGATCAATCGTAGAAGAATCGCATGAAAATAATCGAGGAAAACAAAAATTCGCGAATTTTCATTATCTTTGATTCCCCTAGTTCCGTGAGCGCGCGAATTACGCAATGCGTACACCCATACGACCTTGTATAACCTCATCGATTTCCGCAATTACTTGCCACGTGCCTCGAAAGAAAAAACTCGAGGCCTTGTGCTTCTTTCTCCTCTCTTTCCAATCACTTGTTTTGATAAAAAAAAAAAAAAAAAAAAAAAGAAAAAAAGAAAAAAAAAAGGAAAAGAAAAGAAAAGAAAAAAGAAAAACGCAAGGAATAGATAGAAATAAAGAAGAAATAAGAATGCGCGATCCGGTATAATCAAACAATCATCCTCGTTCGTTCTACTCTTGAATCGTGACAAGACGGAATACGGAAAGATCATGAGTTTCTTTACATTGGTCATCGTGCGAAAGCAATAAACATCGAAACAAACCTCGTGGTCATTAACTTTCCTTATAGAATGGTACTCGTTTCCTAGAAAATATGTAAGATTCTCGGTTTAATCGAAATTTTGTTCGAGGAAGTGTCCTCGGTCTATACGGAACTCGAAGAAAGTTAATTCATTTCTAATCATAGGTACGATGACGAAGTTGAACTCGGTACCAGTATCCTTGAAGAACAGGCCACGTATACCGACCCCGGACGTAACAAAGGAGGTAGTCGATCGTGAGCAGAGATTGGCATTGTCGGCGAGCAATACGGCTAATATCGGTGCTGGCGTTGTTGGCGTTATACCGGCGAATGGTCATTATACTACTGATTTACCGGTGGTCCAGGTGGTCCTGTCGCCGATTCAGGAGACCGAGGGAACGCCAGCAAATGCGAAATCGGGTGCAGCTGCTTTGGCACAAGCGGTATTGTCACCGACTTTAACTGGCGCCGGTTTGGTAGCACCTGTTACTCTAACGCCAGTAACTATGAGCCAGCTGACGCAATTAGGTTTGGTCACGACTACATCAGCTTCTTCGTACAGACCCACGAACATACAGAGCAATAACACGATACAGGCTACCTTGACGGAAGTCAACAGTAGCGAGGAGGAAGGTTCAGGAAGCGGAAGTTCCAGTAGTAGAAGCGAAAGTATCACTGGTCAAGAAGAGAGAAGTACCCCATTAATCGGCGATAATACTAGTCCCGTAATTAGTAACGGAAGTTCACCTACCTTCGACAGTTACAACGATCGTTCTCCAATTCTTATGAATCCAGAGAAACTGGGATATGTCGTAGCTTTACCAACTACACAAGAGACCCATCTGCAAACTGCGATAGAACCACGTGGCAGAAGATCAGCCTCTTTACCTGGACCACCCGTTATCCAATTAAAGGAAGATAGAAGCATGTCCTTGCCCCATTCTCCAGGTCTCCAACCGAGAGAAACTCGTGCAGCTTCTGTTTCAAGTAGACACGATAATCCTAATTTAGACAGACTCGCTATAATTTCTCCAAATCACGATTTACGACCTAGAACCAATAGTTTCGGTCATGAACTCACGAGGAACAATCAGCAGCGTAATCAGGAGACCTCGAGGAAAATAAGTAGCGCTTCTTGTAACAACGCTGCGATCTCAACGGGACCAATTGTACCAACCCAGACGACAGGCTCTCCTAGCAAAAGGGGCGAGGTCTATGTTTGACCGAAATTTGTTCTTATCAGGATCCTTCGTCTTTCCTCTTTAGCGTCTTCGTGACTATTCCGCTTTCGCGAATTAGAGTTCGTACGAGAAGAAGATAAAAGATATTTCGATCTACCTTTTCCATTCGTTCACTATTGTGATGTATTTCTCTTTCTTTTTTTCTTTTCGCTTTTTTTCTTGTACATAGTACGACGTGGCAGGAGTCAAACCATCGAAACTATTTCATGGACAATAGCATCGATCGCGAGACTGCTTTTTACGGATTTTTTTTATTATTATTATTATTATTATTATTATTTTTATCTTTTTCTTTTTTTTTCTTGTTGTTCTTCTTTTGTTTCTTTCTTTTTCTTTCTTTTTTTTTTTTTTTTCTTTTTGTTCCTCACCAAATATCACTTTTTATTAAGGAATTTTACTTTCACACACCCGTAGTCTCGTAGATGGCGCGTCGATTTCGAAAATGACTTTAAAGATCAAGTCGATATCCTGTAAATACTATCTATTTGTGCATATAATCTCTAGGAACACTCAACGGCATAGTTTAAAATCGAGCTAGAACTTTTATAATATAAATAAAAATGAAAAAACACGTGTTGTTACGTTTATGCGTGTGTGTATGTGTATATCGCTGAATCGTTACTAAAGTGCAATCTCTCGTATAAGTATAATGGTCTTTAAAATAGAGCGAAATAAATTTCGTCATCGGACTCGATAGAAAGTACGATGGTGTATATTTTTTGTTTTCACACGTGCAATATTGTACTAGAGTTAATGTAGAATGCATTTTTATCTTTGCCGTTTGATAACTATAATATTAATTACCGAAACTATAGTATAAATTATCGAAAAAACGAACGCTGCGTAGAATTTCGACGAGAACCGATTATTTTAGTTTTTTATTAAAATAATTAAAGCTGACAATGAAGCATAAATAGGAAAGGGCCTTTACTTTAATTTTTACGAGCTTTTGTCAGTTAAAAATTAAAGTAGGGCCAAATCATCGATTGTAATGAACCGTAAAAGTGTGAATATCAATGCGTTGCAGTATAGAAGTCATCAACTATGACATATAAATCAATGAATAAATAAATATATATATATATATATATGTATATATATATATATATATAATTTGTGTATTTCGTCATGTGTGATATGAAGTTTTATACGATATTTATATTATACGATTTATGATGGGATTGTATCTAAGAGTATGTAACGATATTCTACTATTTACGGGCTATTAACATATGCAAAACTTTATGTATGCCATTGTAAATAGGTATGCGTTTTTCCAACCGAAGGAGAACGTCTTTTTCACGATAAGAAGACAATTGCCATATTTATTCAATGACGGTCGGCTCGAAAGTTTCGTATACGTGATACTAGAACAATGAATTTCTATGCACTTCTTCGCGTATGATTATACACGAATGATTATGCCATATCGAAATATTGTATAAAGCTGTTACATAGTTGTCGATGTTTTATAGATTCATTCATTCTAGAAATCTGTATATGCTTTGTCGAATGGCAAATATGTTTTTTTCGACTAATATATAGATAGAAAGAGTATTAGTTTTTTCGAGATCTACAAGATCTTTGCGAGTACTTCAACAATGAAATATAAGATATAGAAGATGACAAATAATCCAACATGATATATATATATATATATATGTATGTATGTTTATATATATATATATATATATATAATACACTTGTTTACGGTTTAAATAGTCGTCTTTTAGTTTCACGATGTATTAGAAAAGAGCGGTGAGTCAAAATCTAAACGGACAAAGTCTTCGATCGCTGATAAAATGAAATATAACAAAATCGGATGAACGAGCATAAGTTTGTCCTACGACAAACGTACTTACGTGTACATAGTTAACTGATTAAGTTAATATCGTTTTACGTATCGATCGATGTTCTCGATATTAGCGAAGTAAGAAACTTTATTATATATGTGTCCGTGTTTGTCTGTGTATATGTACGTGTGTGAGCGCGCGTCTGTTTGTATTTGTTGCGACGGTAGATGCTGTTATTGTTGCTCTACAACTTGTGAGACATTTAAATAATTAAAGATAATCGAACGGGGTAAATTAATTACATGATCATGCTTTTATACGTGCAAGATCAAACGTTGAGAGTTTTGTAAATATTACGTTGAATTCGTCGATTGGCTCGATAATTCGTGGATGCAGAAGAGGAAGAGAAGATATTTTCGTTATTTACATATATCGAACGAACAATGCGATCGACGATTAAATAAATATTTTTTTTCCTTTTTTTTTTAATGACGCGACAATGTTTTACTGTATTTAATGAACGATTCGTTGCGAAGCCGAACGTTTTACACGTACGAAGACTCTGATGGCGAGACGAAATATTTCGTGTTGTAAATATTTATCTTGCAGTATTTTTTTATATATAGGTATATACATATATATATGTATATATATATATGTATATATAAAAAAGATTTGTTTATACATAAATATATACATATATGTATGTATATATTTATATAGATATATATATATATATACATTTGTATACGCATAAACAAATCCTTTTTGTATTATCGCACATGTCTAATTATTGTCTCGAAGAACAAGGAAGACAAGAAAGTGCGAGCGATTGTTTGTTTCGGAAAATATCGGCTGACACGCGATCACGTTCGTGCGATATAATGAGTTAGTAGAGATGTTTCATATTATATTTTCCCTATTATATTATATGTAATCAAGAATAAAATAAATTTTTTTTTAAGTATTCATATTTTTGTTTTTTTTTTTTTCTTTTTTTATTATAAACTACTCTGCGGGTTACATAAAGAAGAAATGAATAATAATAACAACAATGATGATCTAACTGATTTACCAACAATCGGTAATATCATACGACTCGTTGAGCTTGATTGTAATTCCAATAGATAGAATATTCGATCGATTAGAGTATCTATCATAAGTAGAGTTATCAAATTTTCGGAGAGGATTTTTCTTTCAACGATTGTATTTCACATATAAAAAAGACTATAGGGCAGGTAAAAAGTTTCTAATCAATGTTAAAAATTAATTGTTCTTTCCAGAAACTTTTTCGCCTTTTATTTGGGCTTTGTTTTGTAGTTAAACGAGCTAGAATTGGAGTTTTACAATTTGAAAAAGTTAATCGACAAAGTTTCGGAAAAGTCGCAATTGATTTGTAAAATTATTTAAAAGCTTTTGACCCATCTAAGAATTTTTATGAGGTCCCGTATACGTATCAGAAAGAATCAGAGTTGACGGATTTATTAATTGAAAATCTCGAAAAGCCTCATAGCGACAGATATTATTGATCGGGCAATTTATCAAATCGCTGGCAGGTAATTGCTCGATGTGAAATTTTCAAATGGCACAACATGACACTTTAAAATAACAGAACCGAACATATGATAGGAAAGTGTGCAGCTTCAACGAGACTTCGTTGTCTCGAGTCTCTCAAACAAATAGGAGTGGCTCGCACGATCGTCATTATCCACACCGAACTGTCTAATATGTATCAGACGATAAATATTTATTAGGTGCACCCGTCGTCCTAACGATCTATTCGTCGTCGTTGCAATCAACTGAAATCGCACGGTACTGTAATATCTATTCGTGCAATGAGTCTGTTCTACTGTCATAACTGGCTTTGAAGATTGTGCAAGTTGTAAAGTTTATTTACTCGGACAGTTATATTTTTAGAAAATTGACGGCCATTGATGGAAAAAGAGCACATATAGGCTTATGTGCCCTTTCTTTTTCCATAAATCGTCTAAATCGATTTAGATATGTGTCGTATACGTACAAAGGACATGTTGTTTCTTTAATGTTTACATTACGTAGACGCTGTAGCATTATTTTGTGATCTTGAAGGTTTGCGCGATAGTACGCGGTAGTTTGTCCGACGGTCGCTCGCTTATCGATCGTGCTTTCGTACAATATTGCTTCTTTTCTTTTTGTTTTCTGTAAAAAAAATTATGAATATAACTTTGTATATTTAAATGTTTTCTTTATTTTTCTATTTGATTATGAATATTTTATTTCAATAGTATATTTATATACAAAAAGAAAATTGTAAACTTAATAAGTAATTATATTTAATTAAATAAACAATAAAAAAGAAGCCACTTTTTTATCAGATTCATGGAAAAAGAGTACATGAATGGTGAGGTAAGATAGTCATGTTAGATTTTTGAGAATTTGTAAAGAGAACGAAATCGCGGTGGGATCTCTGAGTCTTGGCGTTGAGAATGCTGCAGTGTAATAATAAATCATGCGTCTCGCGGATTATCGGGCAGAGCGTGGCCGCTTACGCGATGTTCGCCGGACGTTTCCTTATCGTAGTGAGTATGCGTTTGCACTCAGCTATATCGAGTAGTCTCTCCATCTTTATGGACCAACCTCAGCCCACAACCATCCCTCCCTCTCCCTCCACCCCCTTCTCGCGTTGAATATCCTTGACACCTTCGTGTTCCACTCATATCTTTCTTCCTATCCCTCGTCTTCACGATGGTTTTTCTTTTTTCTTTTCTTTTCTTTTCTTTTCTTTTTCTTTCTTTTTTTATTCTTTTTCCCTTTTCCCTTTTTCCTTATTCTCTCTCTCTCTCTCTCGCTCTCTCTCTCTCTCTCTCTCTCTCTCTCTAGAGCTTGGTTCTCTCGCTCGCAATCCGTCCGCGATCTAGCTGCCTGCACGATCGATCATGCGAATATACGTCAAGTCGCGTTTCTCCTCACATGAGCAGAGAAGAACTCCTCTCTGAACGACTATTTTCGATCTCTTCTCCAAATCCGGTTTGCCGACGAACTTAATGCGAGGAGGCGAGAGGGAGGGGCTCCTGCAGAAATGCGAAACCTTATCGTTTAATATACGAAGGCTTACATTGTATGGAATTTTAATGAAGATTGACTTTTGACAGGCCCATAAGAGGACATCCGATCGCTTCGCAGACGTTACAAGCTTTTCGAGGCATAGAAATGTATATAATAATAAGAAGCAAATGAAAAAAAGAAAGAAAGTAAGAAAGACAGAAAGAAAGAGCCCAATTTATTCCGTTCGTCTGCACATTACATGTAGGCAATTAAGCGTCCACCGTCGAGAAAAAAATGGAGATATACTGATACATATTAATATAAATGAAATCACAAACAAATATTCGGTACCTCGTTCGTCTTAATGATCTTCTTAGATTATGTATTCGTTATATTTCTAAATACAATGGAATAATAATCCTATTTTATATTCATTAACAAAATATCTCACTATTTTCATTGTATTATTTAACGATGGATATTACATAGGATAATAATCATATAAATATAATTGGATTTTATCAATGAAAGTCGTAAATGTATACTAAATAATAGTATACACTTCGTAGATTAATTTTTTTACCGTTTTATTTTCTTTCTTTACGTGAAATATTTGTAAAAATGCGATTATATCGTGACGCCGCGATGTTTTTAAATAATCGACCGAATAGAATTAAGATTCATAGCTAATAAACATAGAGGGAACTTTGAAGTTCATATAATGTTATTTATTTCTTTCATTATTTTTTATGTTTTTTTGAGATCATTTCTTTGAAATAATTTTGTCTAAAAATTCATCAAATATCAATATATCCGTTCATTCAAGTTAGATTTTCTTATAAAAAGAAATATCATTTATCGTAAGATACATGTCAAATTTACTTTAATGATCGTTGTTTTAAGATGAACTATTATTCCCTTAAATTTAATTTATCTATATATAAGTATATATATATATATACACACACACACACACACTCATATATTGTTATGTTACAATGATGATAAAAATATTTTGTTCAAGCTTGTTTTGTTTGGTGTTACATGAACACCATTAAATCGAATAAATTAATTTCCTGGAAGAATTTCGATCTGGTACGAATCATATACGAGTGGTATTACGGATGATCTACAAGTTTTTAAAAAGAATACAAATACAATACAACTATATTCTCAAGATAGGAGAGTCTCATAAAATGTTGAAATATTAGAACGTGAACGTCGGTATGCCGAGGGCGATATGTATGTAGGTATCTACGTCGGTAATCACTAATCAGGATTTCATCGAGTCTCGTCTTAAGGAGATAACCAGGATATCGTTTAGAAGGAAGCTCGTCGATCTCGAGGAGGTGGTCTAATAAGAACGAGGAAGAAAAGGAAGAGGAGGAGTAGGAGGAGGAAGAGCATGATCCACGCGTAGGTTGGATTCCTTACTCGATCGTCTTGGCAAACTAAACGATTTCCAGCACGGAATACGAAACTCGTAGAGTCGCATTTGGTTGTTCGTTCAAGGCTTGTTTTTCATCGAGACAACTCGTCGTTGACGACTTTACGAATGTCACTACTTGGAGGATAGTAAGTGTAGGCGTAGAATATAGCAAGCAAAATATCGGTAGATTTTAAGTGTTCTTTTGCGGCATGTTTAGAGGCAAAAACGTGAAGTGTAGAAAGAGCTCTCTCTCTCTCTCTCTCTCTCTCTCTCTCTTTCTCTCCTTCTTTCTCACAGTTACGTTGGACTCTCATCAAAGCGCCAAGAGATCAAAGCGGACGCTCGGCATTACTGCGCAGATTACCGAAAGATAAAATCCAGACGTTACCTTTATTAGGAGGACATTTACGCTCGGCCCTCCTTCCAGTAGATCTCTTATAACCATGGAAGTCGTGAGATAGCCAAGATACAATGTCCCGCTGTTTTGTTGTAACAGTCTGCGATATATT